ATTTATTAACTTCTCTTAAAATTTTTGTTTTATTCAATTAAAAATTTATTTTCAAAATTCTTCATATTTATTATTAAGTATAACTTCTTTTGAAATTTTTATTTTACTCATAAATATTTATTTTCGCAAAATTCTTAATATTAACAATTTATAAATATAATATTGACTGCATTTTATTTAAGAGCAAAAATGTATTTAATACTATGACTCGCGGCTAAATGATTTATGTAAAATAATATTTTGTAAATAATCTTTTAATTTTCGACATATAATTTTATAATTTAATTGTGTTTTAATTAAACTCGTTAAAAAAGCAGAAAGTTATTAGAGAAAATTGCATAAATTTGGAAAATTTAAATACTGAATATTCATTATATATCTTAGGATCGATGGATTCTTGAGAGGATTTGCGTTTATTACCACGAAATGCTCCTCCTAGTACCAAAAAGATTTATGGGTCACAACCTCTTTCACAATATAAAGTCATTTTTTTAGAATAAATAATAAATTGTTTTTTTGTTTTGGAAAATAAAATTTTGAGAATATTTTTGAATTATTAAAAAATTATACAAAGTCATTAGCAGTAAACTAATAAATTTTTGTTTGCTGCTAATCACTTTGAAGAATAATAAAAAAATATGTAAAGAATTCTTTGAAATATATTTTTGTTCCAAAGAGTTTTTTTATTATTTTTTTTAATTCTTATTATAAGAAAAAAGAAAATTAAGAACATTTATTAGTTTGTTAATAGAAAAATTATTTATTAGGGAGTAATTTACTTTTTCTATTTTACAATTAAAATATTTACAATTATTTTATCATAAATTAATAATTAATAATTATTATTTATTAATTATATGTTTTTTTGTAGATAATATTTATTTATATTTATTTATAATATTTAATTGATATTAATAATAATTATTTATTATAATTACCATATGGCAATTAAATAATTATTTATTTAATTTTTATTAATTTTTATTAATTATTTAATTAATTAAAAATTAAATATTATTTATTAATACTATTTTTTTTATGTTTATTGGTAAAATTTATTTATATTTATTTATAAAAGTTATTTACATTTATTATAATATATTTAATTATATATTATTTTTTATTTTTACTTCAAAAAGAAAAATGCATTTTAGTCACTTTTTAAAATTTTGAATTTTCCCCCTACTAAATAAAGTCTTCTGATTGGTCTGAAATTTTGGCGGTACTTTCTCTCGGCAAATGAGGTAGTTTGAAAATATTGGCGGGAAAGTATGGCGCTAGTGTTCCTTTGCTCGGGAACCAATCAAAACTGTCGTTTGATACAGAGGTCAACGGAGTTCATAATTGTTGCCGCCATTGTGATTTTTCATGCCGAAGAGGAAACATGCATGTAGCTCTTTGTTCCTGATCGTAAAAAAGGTATTATTTTCTATTAATTTTTTCAATATTTTGCTGCGCAAGGCTCGTCGAGAAGTAAAAGAGTCCTATGATCATTGAAAATTTGTTAATCGATTAATATTTTCTGCTCAAATATCAATCTGAAAATTGACAATGGTATTCCTGCTGTGGCATTTGCGCGATCTTTTATTTTTGTCAATATTTCGTAGAAATTACTGAAAGACATGTAAATTTTGTGGTTTTTGGCAAAATATGTAGAAAAAAAACAAATTTTGACGCAATTTGCAAATTATGTGACTACCACTCGGTCTTTATCACGTTTGTACGGCGTTAGTGGAAACAAGCGACTTTTTTCACTTTTTTGTCGTAAAAAAGGTATTATTATTATTCAATTTAACTATATTTTGCTATTTATTACGCGTGGGGATAGACAAAACTTCTCGCCATATAAAACTTTTGATACAATAACACTAGTTGAAAGTTAGGTATAAAAATGAAAATTGGCCAAAAATTAAAGGTTATGTTAGTCACGCTGTGCGCGCGCTGTTTATTTTCATCAATTTTTCTTACAATTTTCTTGAAAATTAAGATAAATTGATAGTTTTTCGTCAAAATTTGTCGAAAAAAACAATTTAAATTAGTTTTGCGATTAATGTTGCTATGTTCATTCGGTCTTTAGTTGCAGCAATTCACGTTGTTTCGTTGCAACCGACAACAAGTGTCACTATTAAATTTTTTGTTTAACACGTTTAATATTATTTATTGTCATTCAATTTAACAATATTTTGCTATTTATTGCACGTGGCGAAAATCAAACTTCCTTGCCACGTAAAAATTTTGATAAAATAACAAATATTTGCAAGTCAAAAATCAGAATGAAAATTGGCCAAAAATTAAGGTTATGGCAGTCGCACTGTTTATTTACATCAAAACATTTACAATTTTCAAGAAAATTGTGCAATAAATTTGGTACTTTTTTAGCTAAATATGTAGAAAAAACCAGTTTTTACTAAACGTTAACAGTCATTGACTATATTTATTCGGTTTTTATTTGTAGCAATTGATGTTTGCTATTGTTGGCGAAGGCCGCAGAGACAAAAACGGATCCAAGAATCTCAACACTTTTTGTTGTAAAAATATTATTACTAAATTTTTAGGTTTTTGCTATTTAATGAGCGATGAGAACATTAAAATTCTTTGTTTCCGTAAAAATTTTTGATAAACAACAAATATTTACAAGTTAAATATCGATATAAAGATTGACAATAAATTGGGGTTATGGCAGCAGTGTATAGTTTCAGTTTCGACAATTTTTTATAAAATTTTCTTAATTATTCTGTAAATAAACTATTTTTCGAATTAATTACGTAAAAAGAACAAGTACTGATTCAGAATCTTTTGCAATTTAATAATTTTTTCATTTCTATTTTAATGTTTATAGCTGGAAATTGAAGCAGTGTCATTTGCCAAGGCAGTGGTTTTCCGATCCAGTTCTTCACTCGTTTTTGCAAAAAGGTATAATTTTTATTAATTTTATTAATCTAACAGTATGGGGACCTGACTGTATTCACTTTTATTAAAAAAATAAAATCATTGTATTAATTGTCAGTAAGTTTTTTATTTTTATAAATTGAAAGTTTATCTTTTATTCATTATTAAAATTTTCTGAAGTTGTAAATTACTTTGCCTTTTGTAATTACTTGCTTTTGTTAAAAAATATTATGTTAATTGTTAATAATTTCTTTTTATTTTTTTAAATTAAAATTCTTTTAAATGCGGTCAAAAATATTTTAAAATTTCTTTCAATATTAAAAATACAAAGTGATCAATATTAATTATTTACTGAGTAAAGTAACCTAGGAATTATTTATTTCACTCTATGAAAAATTATTTTTTTTTGTTAAACTTTGAAGTACATAATTAAATCAATAGCTGCTTTCGTGCTTTGTATAATTATAGATAAAAGTTTCTCATTTTTATGTCAGTTTTTTAGCACCCGTATATGAATGCATTTAATGATAAAATGATAACAATGCTGGGTGATTCGTCTTCGTTATGTAAATAAATTCCGCGTGACTTGTATTGCACTCTCAAGATGAAAGTAAGTCATTTCGCATAAGTGACTGATGGAGGATTTCATTACACAAAAGGGTCGTTAATATAATTTGTTGGATCCTAGTTATAGCCACTTTATACATTAAAATTTTTAGATAAAAAAAATTTACATTTCTTAAAAATTAGGAAAGAATTTACAATTATTCTAATACTTATTAAAATTTACAGCTTGGAAAAAATTTTGAAATTACAGAAAAAATATTAGGTGAGCTTTAATTATATGCACTTGAAAAAATAAAAATTTGTTCCGCTAATGGACAAACCGTAAACAATTTGAATTGTAAAGTAGTTGCTCTCAAAGTTAAAATCTTTGAAACAATTTTACGTGTGGAGAATTTTTAATGAATTATTAAAACGATACATTCGAAGAAAAAAAAAAGTGGAGATATAATTTGATTTTTAATAGAAACTTATATTACGAATTAAAGTAGAAAATTATATACTTGATAGTAAACTATAAAGTCATTTTAAAGTGTAATAGAAAATTGTAAGTAGGATACATTATTTATTTAACGCACTTTTTCGTGAGCTATTTGAATGAAATTAAACATTCATGTTTATAAAGTTAATTAGAGAATGATACTCGAAATAAAATGTAAAATTTCAAGTGCAATAAAAAATGAAAATTCTTTTAAAATATGTAAATGAAGAACATGAAAAAGTAAAATAAGAAAATGTTAGTAAAATTTAGTATGCAAATAGAATTAGCTTTCTTCGTAAGGAAATTACAACGGTAACGGGTATAGCGGTTTTGAGAATCTGGTAGAAAACTTGGAAGTTAAAACCAATGAGGAAACTGAAATTTGACGACTCGGAGAATTGAAATTTTCATGTGCTATTTTCGGACGTTTTATTATCGGATAATATAGAATTGGTGTGAATAGTAAAAATTAAGTGAAATTACTTGAAATTAATCGGATTTTGTTCGCCGAATTGCAATTACAATTTATTTCGCAAAGCTATAGTTCGTAGCAGTCCATACGAATAATGTGGCAGTAGTAATGGACGATGCGGGCAAGACAGGGTAAAGGCAGTCTCACCAAACTACTCAAATAATTCTCATTTATTTTTATTGCACTTTATTCTCACACTACTGTTCATTTTAAATTCGTTTGCAATTATTGAGAAAAGTCTTTAGAAAATTTTACAAAATAATTCAATAAACGTAAAAATTGAAAAACACTTTTTGAAATTGTTTAATATTCATTTCATTTATTTTATTTATTTCATATAAAATATTTTGTCTGGTAATTTTTATTTCATTATTTATTATTTTTTTAAATTATTATTTTTAATTATTAATTTAATTATTATTTTTTTGCAGAATTCATCTGGAAAGTTTGGATAATGGGATAAAATGTTGTTCCATAGATGTGATGAGGACAAGAACGAAAATATTAATTCTAGAGTACGTAGATTTGCAAATGAGGAGATGACAGTGATAACTTCAATTTCGTTAATCTAGAACTGAGCTGAGACAATAGTCAGTTTGACAATACAACTTCAAGTTTGTTAATTTGCCAGAGAGCTGAGACAACAAAGACAAATTCCTCTTTGGAAATCTGCGAATGAGTGAGTCCCTCCTGTTTCTAGAGATTTAGTGAAGACTGATTTTTAACCTATTTGAAAAAATCAAATTGTGACTGGCTGGTTAGAATCATTATTATTCTCGACTTATATTGAATTTAATTATTTAATTAGGCTGAGAAATTTTTCGATTTATAAATTTTTAGCAAGCTGTTTGCTTTTTCTTGACACAAAAATTATTTTAATCAATTATTATAAACTTTGGGAATTTGTAAATTCTGTAAAGAATAATTTATCAAATTTAGAAAGTCTATAATTTAATTATTTTCATCCAAATATATACTGGAAAAAAAATTATTTGATTCAAATAACCGATTAATTGACTATTATCAATTAAACAAGCTGTCGTATCCGTCTTCGACGGGTTTTAGTTTCTACCAATACATTTAACAATGTTTCTACCAATCTGGAAAATCAGAAAATAGCCGGGAATTTAATTTGACCGGAAAATTAATAATTAGTTACTATTTAGCTATTTCGGTAGTATAATATTACTATTTGAATAGTCTCCACCCTTTAGCAAAAAATCAAAAATTCGAAAAACCGAATTTCTTAAAATTTAACATTTTTTTCTACTCTTTTATATGATTAAGCTTAATTATTTTTCCTTCTTTTTTATGGCATTTAGCTTCATTATTTTTGGGCTCTTCAAAAATACTTTACCTAATTTGTTATCTCCACCCTTTGGTAAAAAATCCAAAAATATGGAAAATTAGCAAAAATTCAAAAAACTGCATTTCTTAAAATTCAACATTTCTCCTTCTTTATTATGGCATTTAGCTTCATTATTTTTGTGCTCTTCGAAAATACTTTACTTATTTAATAGTCTCCACCCTTTGGTAAAAAATCTAAAATTATGGAAAATTGGCGAAAATTCAAAAAACCGAATTTCTTAAAATTCAACATTTTTCCTTCTTTTTTATGGCATTTAGCTTCATTATTTTTGTGCTCTTCAAAAATACTTTTCTTATTTAATAGTCTCCACCCTTTGGTAAAAAATCTAAAATTATGGAAAATTATCAAAAATTCAAAAAACTGAATTTCTTAAAATTCAACATTTCTCCTTCTCTTTTACGGCATTTAGCTTCATTATTTTTGTGCTTTTTCGAAAATACTTTACTTATTTAATAGTCTCCACCCTTTGGTAAAAAATCTAAAATTATGAAAAATTAGCAAAATTTCAAAAAACCGAATTTCTAAAAATTCAACATTTTTCCTTCTTTTGTATGGCATTTAGTTTCATTATTTTTGGGCTCTTCAAAAATACTCTATTTATTTAATTGTCTCCACCCTTTGGTACAAAATCAAAAATTATAAAAATTTCGAAAAACCGAATTTCTTAAAATTCAACATTTTTTCTTCTCTTTTATGGCATTTTGCTTCATTATTTTTGTCTAATGTAGCAAATTTCTTACTTTACATATTGATCTTTAAATAAAAAACTTTAATAACTTTTCCTGAAATGCTTTTTTTTTAGTGTATGAAATAAATATTTGCTTAAATCAAATAATTTTTATTTAAATCAATTAAATGGTATTTGCTTCAAATATTGAAATTATTTTGGTTTAAATACAATTTAATTGACTTAAAAATTATTTCATTTGAATAAATATTTATTTGATGATAGATTAAATTAATGTTATTAATTAATAACAAATACTTTTAATTATTTAACAATTTCCAAAAAAATTTTATTTTGATTCATTGTGAGATCCAGAAAAGGTTTAACTTTTTTTTATAAAAGTATATTATAATTATAATGATATAATTATAAAAAAGTACATCTATCTTTAGTTAGGAACGTGAAAAATAGAACTTTAACATGATTACTTGTATTTCAGACTTTTAATTAAATAGAAAATTTTGTTTATAAGTAAATTAGGTTTAGAGTAGGATGTCTATAATCTTTTTTCAATTCAAAGAATTCTTTTAAACATTTTTATTTGCATAAAGAAAAAAGAGTGGTGACATTCGTAATTTTCGTTTTTATTGTATTATGAAATTACTCGAACATTTAAGATTTGATCATTTTTAGTTTAGTAAGACTTAAAATTGGAAATAATTGTTAGTCGAGTAACAATAATTGCCTGTACGCTCAAACTATAATTAAAGTCGATATTTTACAAAAAAAATGAATTTTTTTGTACAAAAAATAAATTTCTGTACATGATTAATTTATAAACTAATTTTTAAAACACTTTAAATATATTTAAACTTAATATAAAACAATGATACTAAAGATAGTTTAAATTGTAATTATTAATTTTATTTCAGAAGATCAACGGAAGTGTATGCTGGGACATTAGGACTCTTCCGCAATACGCAAATTCACAATTGTAAGTTTTTTTCTATTTTGTCATTTTTAAGTAACTTCAAGCAGACTATGAGTCAAAGGCGTAGAGTCAGTTTATACATTTGGATCGTCGATTTAATAATTTATATGGGTGATTCTCCTGAAAGGGACCACTTCACGTGTCTCCAACATGAGGTTCATTATTTAAATTAATTTTTCATTAATATTTTATCAAGTTTAAATTTAAAAAAAAATTTATTTATAATCTACGAAGATTTATCTATCTTTATATAATCTTCTATTGCTTATATTTAAAGTTCTTCCTATTTAAAAAAACATATTTAATTTTGTCATCGAATTTTGGTTAAACAGAATGTATATTTTATAAATATATTTTAACGTATATAAATAATTTCAACATATTTATGATATATATCAAATTAAAGTTCAGAACATAACGATTATTTTTTACTTACATTTGTTTAAAATAAGATAAAAAAAGTTATTGAAATTATTAATTAAAATAGTATTATCAATGAGAGTAAAAATTAAATTCATCTCCGAAGCCTCGTTTTCTATATAACAACATCATATTTTTTAACGTTTTAAACATAATATGTAATCTATGTGAAAATATTTGATGTTAAAAACTAAAAATATTGTTAAAAAAATTGTAATATTTTTAAAATTAAAAAAAATGAGAATTTTTTCATTAAATTATGAATTCATCTCCGAAGCCTTTTTTTATATTTGATATGCGTTTTCTTTTGTTTTTGATTTTTAATCATTGTTTTGAAATATTTAACCCTCAAATTAAATTATTAATTTAATAAAAATAAAATATAAAAGCAAAAAGTGCAATAAATTGAAACATAACAATTTATTATTTAAAAAAAAATATTCCTACCGAGTTTTTTTTACAAAATAATTAATTTAAAAGTTATAATTAATTATACTTAACCTCTAGAACACATGATAATAAAATGTTCTTGGAGGTCTTATTTCTGAAAATTAATTTTGCGCAGCTTATATTTTTATCTTTAAATATTTTCTAAATTTAATTATGAAAAAAAGTAACAAAAAAAGAATAATTTGATTTTTTGGAAATTCAACCAAAAAAGGGTCCCTTTCAGGAGAATCAACCATATATTTATTTTTTCATTTATATTATTATATTTAATAATTTTGTAATAAATATTAATATTCAATAATTTTATATAAAACTCTTAATTATATTTTTCAAAAAACTTTACAGACAGTTTCTCCAAGGAGAAATAATTTTTTAAAGGTGATATAATATACACAGAAGAAAAGAATTCAGTGAATTTTACAGAACGTTTTTTACTAGCGAATACAGTCATTCACGAAACGAAGTTCTGTAAAATGCGATGAATTTTTCAGAATAAATATAAAACATTGAGTTGAATCGTTCAACTCAATGTTTTATATTTTATAACTAAGACGACCGAGTGATAAATTTAAATATTTATTAGAATAAACTTTTAGAAGTTTTAGAAAAAATACTCAACATTTCGGAAATTTATTCTGTACTATTCCCCACATTTTATATCGAACTCCGTTTTGGGAAAGGCCGTATCCACTAGTCTAGAAAGTTCTTAAAAATTCGCAGATTTAATTTTTTTCGTGTATAAAAATTAATTCCTGTATAACTGATAATAAGAAATTTTTTATTTGTTTTTTTATCAGCGAAGAACAATCTAAAGGACAAGAAGGTGGACGAGAAGAAGAGTGGTCCCTGGACAACGTGGGAAATCGCATAGAGGATTTAACGGAACAAAGAATGGTCTTCGAGTGAGTCCTTTTTTATTTACGCCCTTCCCTGTTTGAGACAGTTATTCATGAATTCATTTTCTTTATTTATAATTACTTACAATTAATATATTTGTAAATTTTTAAGTACCATTTTCAGCTTTTAATAGTTTAATAATTAAGTTAAATTAAAACTAATAAACTTTTTAATAATTCGATTAAAGAAGAATACCGTAAATTTCCTATTGAAACATTAAAATTTCTCTAAAAACAGGGAAGGAACCCCAACAACATAGTGACACCATTGACGAATATATTATTTCTTAGTATATTTTACTATTACGAAAGTAATATTTTTGTCAATGTATCTTTTATTTATGTATATATTTATTGTTTGCAATGTATTGTTTAGTATTAGCTATTTTTTAATTTTTCATAATCTAAAGTAATTTTGTTCCATTTATAAAGACTAATTAAAAGAACATTTTAATATTTTATCAATTTAAAAATTTTTTGCACTAAAATTTGTCTTGTTTTTGTAATATGAATCTTTCTGCTTTTACTTATGAAACTTATTATTTAATTATATTAAAATTAAAAGTTAATGCACGTAAGATTTAGAATTTAGTTTTATCAATTTTTAGTTTTGTTTGTTAAATCTTTTAATTAGTTTTATTAAAGTAAAAAGTTAATGCATGTAAAAGAAAGTTAAATTTTTGGTCAATTTCACTTAGGGAGTTAATTAGATGTTTCACTTTCAGGAATTTTTTTCCCCTTTTTTTGAGTGATTTTGAGCTCAGGTGACGGATGCGTCCCGGGACGTATGGGTGAGCCTAACGTGCCCCTTTATCCCTAGAGTAGGCCTTTTGCACCTGGGCGGTATGTGTGAGAATCGTGGAGTGATGTGTGTGTATACATGTGATTTAAAAGTAGGTTTGGAATAAATAGATGGGTAGGTAGAGGAGTAGCTTTTCTGGTATGAACGGGGTAAATTGTACTTTCGTTTAAATTGCGACCACAGGTAGGGAAATCGGTAATTTTTTTCGTGAGTGAAATAAATCCGTGCAACCAGTGCCGGCCTCAGCCATCGTCAGCCACATCGGTGTCCTGTGTGAAAATTTTAGGTTCGAGTCTTCCCCAAATAGAAAAATATTTTCGCACAGGCATCGTCGCGGCGCTCCCTAACGTGGGGCGCATTCTCTGGGGCTGGCACTGAAGAAAAATATATTTTTCTTGACATTTTTATCTATATTTTTTGTCACTATGTTGTTTAAAAATTTTACATTCTATAAATTTGTGAATTGTATTCTTTTGTATTTTGTGTTTGTTGTCTTCAAAAAATTAAATTTTTCTCAAACGAAGTTTTTCTAAGATTATCAAATTGAGACAAAAAATGAATCAAAAGTGTTGCTTTGCAACACTTTTTATTCATTTTTTGTCTCAATTTGATATCCTTAAAACAGTGAATATATAATTTTGAAAAATTATCTGCTAGTTTCATCTGCAATTATTCATAATTTTTATATATTAAACTTTGAGGATTAAAATGTTCCATCGAAAAAAATAAATTTATGGGCAGTGTAGTGTGTTCGTTTTTCTGTGCGGTAAACAATGGCGCGTTCATTGTTTATAGAGGAAGGAAAACGATAATAGAAATTTGTTTTGTACATTTAACTTTTTTGAGATGGGTGTCGACGAGAATGTCTCGAGCGAAACAGACGGCAAGAGGCGCAGTCTCTTCTGCTCCTCTGGCTGGAATTTAGCCAGAAGGCAAAAGCGAGACTCAACCTCGAAACCTTAGACTTTGCCTTCACCACCAATACACAGTATAGATAATGCAAGTCGTGCATCCTTCTGAGTTTGCGAATAGAATATCTGCATGTCTCACCGTCTCGCGATATACTATAAAGAATACCCTCTCTATATTATACGGTAGAGAGAGATGTTCGCAGAACATTTAATATACCCATTTTAAATCAAAAACTATCAATAAAGTATGAATTGAATTTCAATTTTTCTATATATTTTTTTTACACTTGGATTCAATCATATTTTTTCTAAGAATATTAAATTGAGACAAAAAAACGTATTAAAAATTAAAATAATTTCGAAGCAACGTTTTGATACGTTTTTTGTCTCAATTTGATAACCTTAGAAAAACTGTGACAAACTTTTAGAACTAAGATCCTTTCTCATTGTCAGTGAGATTATAAACAATTTAGAAACTTGATTTCTTTGGGGATTTTCGTGAAAAATTTTTTCACATTATAAGAACGAAAGGAACATAAAAAGGGAATAGAAAATATTTCATATTGGTTTATGTAATGTATAAATTTTGTGAGAGATCACTATGAATTTCGTTTTGTACAGTATATAAGGCAGCGATCTTTGTTGCTGGTCAATTACACAGTAATTAATGTTGGCGTACTGCACATACATCCTCGAAGGACCAGGAACATCAGGAGTTATTACAAAGATTTACGAGGGAGACCGCACTTGTCCTACGTGTACGTACTCAGTGTTCACGTAATCGTAACATGTTCGTGTTAGTGAATCCGTATTCATGTCTCAACATTGGTATAAATGTGCGTGTATTGGTCTCTAGCGCGTTCTCAGCGCCTCGAGCATCCCAGCTATTTTCCCGGATGATGCATGCTCCGAGGTCGTTCGCTAAATGTGATATGTTATCAGAAACGCGATAAGCTCACCGAAAAGATAGAGTGGATTACTTTTATTTTTTTCTTCTCTTCCTCTACATTTGAATTAAATAAGTACTAACCAAAGCGATAGAAATCGGTTTTGTTTTCCGAGACTTTTATATAGGCGATATCGAGTTATAAAACTTGAGAGAGAGAAAGAGAGAGAGAGAGAGAGAATGTAGAAAGTATTCTTCTTCATTTACTTTCGCTTTGTGGTCCATCCTTTGACTCGACCTTGCGAGAATTTATTTCATTTCCTCCTGTAATATCTTTTAGTTATTCTACTGAGAATATTATAATCAGATGATGAACAGCTCTTTATGTGTTCAAGTTTATTTTTTTATTTTTTATATAGTTCGAGAATTGTTTTCTTCTTTGGTTTTTGATTGTTTGGAAGTGGAATTGTTTGGTTTAATTTAAAAGCTTTCGGGTGAAATGATTTTTTCTTTTTAGAAAAATGATTTGATATAGAAGGAAAAAAAATTGAGTCAGTGGAAATAGATTGTCCTAGTCAATTTACTGCAAGCTTGGGTTGATTCGCAGGACCTTTATTTGAGAGACGCTGATCAAGAAGTATGAAGGCATCCCCAGAAGCCACATTGCCACAGGGAACATGCACGCTCTTCCTTCTGGCTGTCTTCCAAATCTCTCTGCGAGCTTTTTCTATTTTACCCCTTATTTTTCTGTTCGACTGATTTATCGTTTTATTGCACGAGCCCTTTCCTCTTTCTCTATAGCATAGACTTGTGCCTTGCCTCCAATCATTTTGGTTCATGTCCCGTGGCGAGGTAAAGATTTTTCGAATAACTTTATACCTTTCCGGTATACAGTTTCTTATTTTTATTAATTATATTTTAATTGTATGTATATTTATAATTATATTTTTATATAATTTTCAGGGATGCCACAGGTCAGGGAAGTCAGGAAATGCAGGGAAAAGTGAGGAATTTTTATTAAAAGTACGGGAAAAAATTAAATTTTTTCAATTTATGAGAAAATTCGGAATTTTTGTGTCTTTTTTGTTAGCCTCATAAACTATGAAATTGCAAAGAATTCAAATACAAACCCTTCAATTTTTTCTATTTTTGATAATATATCTTTTTAAATAATTTAATTCTTCAACAACTATCATAAAATTATTACTTTATAAATTATTTAATGAATAATTTTACTAAAAAATTTCAAAATTAATTGGATTTCAAAAGAGTTACGTTTACAATCTTCATAAATAGATGAACTTCAAGGGTTTCAATTTGAAATTTTAGAAAATATCAATTTTTAATGAATTTAAATAAAAATTTTAAGAACAACTGATTACAGAAATTCAATTATTTTCAAAAGTGATAAACTTCTTCGCATAAATTCAATTATGTTTAAAAATTGAAAAAAATTCTTATTAAAATTTCAATTATCTTTATAAATAATAAAATTCTTCTCCGAAATTCAATTATTTAAAAAAAATTTAACATAATTCTTGGCAAAATTTCAATTATTTTCAAAAATTTTCCTCATTTCAATTATTTATAATATCTACTATTTTAATAAAATTTTCCAAAAGAATTCAATTATTTAAACAAAATATTAATAAGAATTTCACAGGAATTCAATTTCTTATCAATTTTTTATAAATATCTTTGCACTAATTCAATTATTTTTAATTTTTTAATAAAGTTTCTCGAAATAATTCAAGTATATTTAGAGAATTCAAAAAAAATAGTTCTGAGATATTCAATTATTTCAAAACATTCAAATAAATTTCTTTTAAAAATTCTATTATTTAAAAAAAATGTTGACAAAATTCTTTACAAGATTTAGTTAATAAAATTGCAATTTTAATAAAATTTTCCTATATAATTAAATTATTTTTAATACAATTCTTTTTAAGAATTCAATTACTTTCACAAATAATACATTTTTTATGGGAATTCAATTATTAAAAAAATTTGAATAAAATTCTTCACAAGAAATTAATTATTTTCATCAATAATAATATTTTTCTCCGGAACTCAATTATTTTCACAAATATTATAAAATTCTTCACAGGAATTCAATTCTTTAAGAAAATTTTTAATAAAATTCGTTGCAAGAATTCAATTATTTTTATAAATAACAAAACTTACAGCAAAATTTCAATTATTTTTTGTACAATTTTAAATAAAATGATAGAAAATTGCATTTATTCTTAAAATTTTTTTTTAAATTCGCCGAAAGAATTCAATTATTTTAAAAATTTTTTAATAAAATTCTTCATAAAAATTCAATTATTTAATAAATTATTTATTTTTGTATTTAAATAATTGAATTCTCGAATAATTTACTAATAAAAATTGATTAAAA